TCTTAGCGACATGAAAAAAAGATCGTTTAAAGAACTCGGAATGAGCGTGAGCAATTTGAATCTTAATTTCGATGATATAAGGTAAATAATTTTTTTTTTTTATATATATATATACTTAAATTTAACTTTCCCCCTCCCCTCCCCTCCCCTCCCCCAAACATTTGAAAATATTTTCCATATAACAAATCCAATCCATTCGTGATAACAAAAACATTCTCCTCATTTTAAAAAATCAATAAATTAATTAATTACATAATTTAAAAATCGATCAAAATTATAATAATAATAATAATAATACGGTTAGAAACATGAGATTTATTTTATGGTTGTTTAATAAATTGATGAAAAAGGTTGATTGACGATACATAATAACCTATTTCAAATTATTGATTTTATCTAAATAAATAAATAAATAAATTATTATTATTTTTTTTCTTCGACTTGACAGTGTTAAGATTATTTATTGGTCGTTACGCTATTTTATGAAATCGTTTTATTTTAACTAAAAAAAAAAAAATTATTTATTTTATGCCGATGCGTTGTTGCCTCGTCGTACAATTTAACCGATTTGAAATCATTAAATTATTATTATTATTATTATTATTATTATTATAAAAATAATGGAATCAATAATCGAAATTTAAATTCGATAAATTTCAGGGTTACAACTTTTTTGTGTTAAAAATTTTATTAAAAAAAAACAAAGCTCAATATTTATTTTATTAATAAGAAAAAAATTATTGAAATAATAATAATAATAATAATAATAATAATAATAATAACAACCCGTTCAAAATTTAATTTAACGGTAATTAGTATCGCGTAAAAAAAAAATTAAATTATTACTCCTCCTCCCTCCCGTCCCCCTTTCCCCGTTCTCCCCGTTATAAATTTTATTATTCTACGAAATGATTAAAGTAGAAAAACATGGTAATAATAATAATAATAATTAATTAATTAAAATTAAATATATAAAAAGTGTCATTTATATAGTCAAGTGTCATTCTGCATTAGAAAAAAAAAATTGTTTAGACGCATTTGCTTATCATAAGAGCCTAGAATACAAATAAAAAAATATTAAGCAATTTATTTTATTTTTTTTCTCTCCTACGGATCAAAATTATTATTTATTTTTTTTTTTTCTTGTCAAAATATAATGAATAAAATTATTATTTAAAATAAATAAATAAATAAATAATCTTTACCTAAAACTTATCAAAGATTTTAATGTTTTCTCTCTCTCTCTCTCTTTTTTATTAATTAATTAAATAAATGTTTCTCTCTCTCTCTCTTTTATTAATTAATTAAATAAATGTTTCTCTCTCTCTTTTTTTTACATATATGATTTGTATACATAACTCGATTATGTTTTTTACAAAAAATTATTTTACTCGGAATTTAAAAATTATTAAATTAGCCTTGTTCATTTTAATAATAATTGATTATTAAAAATATTTGAAGGTCAATTTATTTACTTTAAATAATAAATAATAATAATAATAACAATAATAATAATAATACGACAAATTTATAGTAATTTTTTTTTTTTTTGCTACGATTCGAAATGGCTTGTGGAAAACTACGAAATTTTCTTTTTCGATAAAAAATAATTTAATGTATGCAGATGTAAAATAAATTATTATTATTATTATTATTTCAATTATTATTATTAATATTTTTAAATAAAAAAAAAAAATTAAACAATTAATTTAAAGTCCTTTTGTTGTTGTTGTTGTTGTCGTCATCGCAGTTGTTGTTTTTTTCAATTTAATTCGAATGTTTTTCTTAAACGTGTTTTTATTATTTCGAAACATTGCATAATTTGACAAGAAAACAATTTTTTTATTTTTTAAATGACGTCATTATTAAAATAATAATAATAATAATAATAATAATAATAGAAAAAAACATTTTGTTTTAATAAAATTTTTAAATCTTATTAAAAAGATTTAATAAATTAATAAAAAAATTTTTTATCCGCATATGTTTGAAAAAAATGAAATATTAAGGACACAAATTGAAAATATTTAAAAAAAAAAAGGAGTCCGTCATTACTTAAAAAAAAATATTTTAATTAATTTTTAATCTTATATTTTTCTGTTA